TCTGACCTCCCTGCAATGAGCAGGGACATCTTCAACTCGATCAGGTTGCTCAGAGCCCCGTCCAACCTGGCCTTGAATACTTCCAGGGATGGGGCATCCACCACCTCTCTGGGCAACCTGTTCATGGTCCTTTGCACCATGTCCAAAACAACTCTAAAAAGCAGTTTAAGTATCAGTTAAGAACAGGGAAAATGCTCAGGTTTTGCGGTAAAAAGTCGCTGAAAACAAAACGCAAAGCCGAGCTCCTACAGAGGAACGGGACCAGCCAACTCCTAACCCCAAAATCAGACTTCTGCAGTTCAGAGCACTCATGTTTTCTAACCTAGAGGAAACTGGGGGAAGTGTGTGCTCTTGAAGAACTGAGCCTTCCTCCAGGAGGATGAGAGAAAACCGATTTTAACTGAAAAACTTGCTAAAAAAGGAAGTGAATTTGTTCATACATTTTATGCCTGAGCGCCTCCACTATTGCTTGAAATCCGTTCTGCAGACGAAGTTTTACAGACCATGGCACAGAGGGTGCCACTGCGGCAGCCGCACTCTGTGGCCGGCGATGCCATGCCGGGCGCGGAGGCAGATGCCGTCGCTCCTCACTGCTTCTTGCACAGACCGAGGGCGAGATCTGGGGCTCTACACCCCAAGCAGCTCCCAGGGCAGTGCAGGGGTCACCCCCAGCAGGACTCGTACCATGATCAGCCAACTAAAGTGGAATCTACCGTGTCAATAAAATCATTTACAACTTGGGAAACAGAAAAATATGTATTAGGAACTAATTTGGGGTGTTGCACAAACTTATTTGGATGTATCTCTGTGCAATACTTTTAAAATAAGCATATCATTGATAGAAGAAATTTATGATAAATGTTAAGTTTTTCAGTAAGCCATTCTAGAATAAAAATAGATGCAGTGAGACCTGTCAAAGTCTTTTGCTTATCAATTTTGACTGCAAATTCTCATTTCTTAGCAGTCTCCACTGAATAGAAAATCCTTCAAGTGAGGTTAAACACAGAGCACTTTCTCAGGATGAAACTAGCCAGATTTAAAACGAAAATGACGCTTCAATCCAGGAAATAATTATTCTATACCACATACTCTAAGGCATGACAAGCTACAGAACACCACACAGTTTGGACCCAAAGCCTTCAAAGAGTTGCCCAGTCCCCAGAGATGCTGCTGCTGGATGATGTATGTCCCTGGGGGTGCTCTGGGGTCCCTGGGCCTGCGCGCAGGAGGAGAGGCACAGAAAATCCTTGGCACTAGAGGGTAACTCGAACTATTTACCTCTTTCAGCATAAGCCCAAGATCAGTTTGAAACCATGTCATGACTCACATCACAACAGCTTCATTACAGCATAATCTAAGTAATTGCATATATATTCTAGGAGAGATATGACCAAGAAACATAATGACTTCACACAACATGGCGCTGCACATACCTTACAAATTACACTTTGCAATCACCATGGAAATTTCTCTGCATGCAGATCAAGCAAAAAATGACTTGTAAAGCAGCTGAAAACCTTTTGGAAGCAGCACACTGTGCGTAAGCCCTGGGAGGAGAGCCCCTGCCTTGGACTGTGGCTGAGCTACCGACACTCCTAATACAACTATAATTGTTTAACAGCCTCAGCGGTGTTAATGGCTCGCTCTGTATAAAAGCCAACCCTCCCAGCTCTGCCCTTGCAGAGAGGTACAATGATTGGCATTTTCAGATTAAATCAGTTACTACTGGAGATCTACTCATTGCCCAAAGCAGTGCGCAGGACCAGCTTTGGGGAAACCTAACGTGAATTCAAGAGGAATGCAAAGTTCAAGGATCTGCCAGCTGCAGTACAATGCTCAGAAAACATTTCTGCTGAGCATGTAGCTGCTCCTCTTTGTGTCCTTAACCCCTCACAGCCAAGCACTGCGGCACATAGCTAAGGTGGAAAGGTTAGCCGCTGTTTGAAAATCTGAGGCCAGAGCCTCAGCTAATATCAACTGACTTTTCTTCTTCAAAGCAGTGGGACCACTGTGGTTTAGAGATGCTCAGCATCTGGCCCAGATCGAGTTAAAGTTCAGCAGAAAAGACAGACAAATGATAAAGACTGCTGATGAGTTGCAGTGTTTCACCATCATCCCTGCTAAAACAGCTTTAAGTGCTGAAGGACTACCAGTAGCGTCTTGTTGCAAAAAGCAACCGAAATAACAATGCTCAGTAATAATAATCCAACCAAAAAAGCAGGGGGGCACTCTCCATTTAGTCTCTCCTTGACTGCTTTTATAAATGTTATGACAGACTTCAGAGCACAGCAAGCTCATGGGCACCACTCAGGTCCTTCCTGGAGCGAAAAAGGACCCCGTGCCATGGTTTCCTTTGTACTTCTTACACCAAAACGAATCCCTGTTAAGCAGTACGTATTATATACATAGCAAAGTGCTCAGTAACTCCAGTGTGCTGAAGAGACACGCCGAAGAAAGCCACAGTCTTTGCACCAGCTTAGAAGAAGAATTCACTGACCTTGGCACGAAGCATCAGACTGCTGCCCTCAAAACATTATGGTCCTTGCTCATCAAGTCCAGAAGGCAGCAGGAGAGAGGAGCTGTCTTTCTGGGACTTACATGATCCCATCTGCAATGCACGAGCATCTCACAATCATCATCCGCGGGAGGTAGCGCAAGGGTAAGGGAGCATGGCACCGCTTGCCAGCCTTGCATTGGGACTCTCTGAAAGCCCAAGGGATGGATCCAAGTCTTTCAGATATCACAAGCACTTTAGTCACTGGACTGTGTTTTCCTCCTGACCTGTAAGCGTATTGCTTGGAGAGGGATCAGGAGAAAAGTGCTGCAGATATTTCCACGGTACCAAATGTGACTCTATAGCTCTACAAAAGCATTTGGTGTTTCTTTGCCTTGTCCAGGTGATGGAAAATTTTTTTCCCTGACCCAGATACCACATAGAATTTTTCAAGCCTTGTATTTTCATGAGTCTCAATAGTAAAGAAGTCCTGTTTGTCACTCACAGGAAACAATTTAAAAGCATTATAAATGCATCTCTCCGTGCATCACATAGCAGAAATTGATATAGTCAAGTAACGGCTTAAGCACTGTGTTCATACCTACATACAAATATGTTACTAGCAAAACAAGTGTCAATTTACAACTAAGTTCATGTTTTCCTGATATCATTGCTTTGCTTTTAATACAGTATATTGTTTCTTGCTGTTCTTTGGTTTGTATTCCTGGAAGAACAAATCAAAGCATAGCAACCGGAGCTACAGCAACCAGCCCAGCTGGAACAGAAACACTTACGGGTGAGAAATGAAAAACAATACCTGATGCAGAAGAGCACTGATGTGGGCAAGACCATCACAAGCCCAAACCATTCTCAACTGTAGCATTTTTCATAGCTTGGCATGGCCCAAATTTTAAAATCTGCTTAAAGAATCTGAATGTCCAATCGCTTTTTATGGGATTTGGATGACAAAATTATTTGTGTGCCTTTGCAGATAACAATTCCCTACATTATACAATAATGGTACATGGAAAAAATAATTTCTAGAAATCTGTGTGAGCTCCTAATTCTTTAAATTTTCAACCTTTTTAAAATTTTATTTTAAAAAAAAGTTATTTCTCCTGAGATTTAGGGTCTCTTCTATCTCCCTCCTATTTGTCTCATCTCCTTCCTTTAGCAACTTCATCTTCACATAGTTGCCCTTTACTCTTTCACATTGGATTTGCAATAGTACTTTGAGTGGCCCCTTCTCCTCTCCGACTACTTTGTTATATTTCCCTCGACACCAGCCACCGCCAACCTTTCTGACTGGCCCTCGGGCGAGGCAGGTCATCCTGATGTTCATAAAGAGCTTCACACCTTAAATAAGGCTTTCTGCCCGAGCTGTGTAAGTTAGAATAATGGGCATGATTCAAATACAATAAAAAGCAATTTGAACACTTCACAAGAACTCGAGTTGAATTGAAACTGGAGCTGTGGCAATTTACACCAGCTAAAGATATTAGGTTTTTTTTTTCCTATGACTCAGAGACTCAATTCAAGCAACATTCCTACCTTTGCTGATGTAAGTTCTCACCTATTAGAGACCAGCTAAACATTTTGAAGGCTGAATACAGCAATTTCTTCTAGCACCAAATGCACAATACTGCAGCAACCAGGCCTGTGCCTTTCATACCTGGGCAAAGCCCCAAAGGAGTGGGCAAAGCCATCTGAGCACACACACGGAATTGCAGATATGAGAAATATTTATTAATGGTTGTTAGTTATTTGTCTCCAATATCAAATGCTTTCTCATTCCCCCAGTTTCACTAGAAAAGCAGTAATTCCTGGCTGATGAAGTAAAAAATACGAAATCAGCTCACAACATCACCACGTAGGCAGTCACAACACTTAAAAGAAGCCAGCCCTCAAAAATTGTTCACTCGTGGTTATTCAGGAGTGGTCACTGGGATCACCCACGGTGAGAAAAATATTTTGCAAACTTTTTTTGAGCCATTTATCATTTTAGAGTAAAGAAGATTGCTCACATGTTAGCAAACATTATTTTTATGCTGCCAGGCAACCCTGCTGGTAAAGCTGCTAGAAATGACTGAGAAAACATTTTGTTAGTTGTTAGATCTGATTGCCATAATTAACTTTTGATGATTTGTTTGTTCCTTTTTAAAATTATTATCAAATATCTACATCTTCAAAGGCTTTATTGGGATCCACCTCCACCAGTGGGAAGTGGAAGACCACCAGTCCCTTGTTTTGGTGGGGCACAGCACAGGGATTAAAATCACCCGAGTCCTGGGTCCCCCCTTTGCAAAGCAAGCCCTTCACATGGGAGCTTTTGGTAATGGATACGTGAACAATTTTTAAGTTAGATACTTGTTTTAATATAGCTGCACTAATGCACATTCCTCTTATATTTAGGTATGTAATAATAATAATAATCATAATAAATAATTTGAGAATAAAGTAATAAGAAGCTAGATTTTTCCTTACCTTTTTGGAAAGCAGGCAAAAGCTATACAGTAGGTGGAAGAGTGTACCAAGTAACAGATTTTTGAACCCTCTTTCTTACTGGTGGTATGCAGTCTACAGGAAAAGTAAATACATTGGTATGTATAATATGTCTATTCACAATAAACTCTTAAAATTTTGCCCTGTCATGGAGGCCATGACATTAATCCAACTGAAGAGCTCAGATTAGAGCAGCGATAGTGGAAAGCTGAGAGGCGCCACTATATGAAATTAACTCTGGCTTAGAAATAAATGAACCAGTTCACAGAAGTTCAGGTACCTCTGAACATGGGAGCAGCTGCTCAGAAAAGAGCAGGTCTGGTTGATTTTTTTTTTTTTTCCTCTGCCCTGAGCAAACTCTGGAACATTTTGGCTTTAGTTTAAGACTCCCCTGTCCTTCCTCACCCATGCAGTCACCCTCGGGTTCCTCGGCATCATGGACAACCATTTTAGTTTTTTTCCTTGGAAAGATGTAATAAGCAACGTCATGTCAGTGATGTTAAGGATGAACGGGAATGAATACACAAACACACCAGGACACAGCACGGGAGCTTTTGCACAGAGGTGTCTGCACGTCTGTCCGAGACAGGAGATGCTCGTGTTCCACGTACACTATCCACAGCTTACTGACGGGAACCCACAAAGTCAGAGTCCATTCTCAACGCGTGGAGAAAAATGAGGATGGACACACAGTGCTCTCGCTGCCATTGCGACAGAGAGGAGCTGGCAGCGCACAGGGAAGCACCGTTTTGAAATGGAAACACGCAAATGGTGCCTGGTCTGTTTGGAGACAACAGGCAGCGATTGCACTTCACTACTGAAAACTGAATCAACGGCCAGGTAAGTTCTACTTAGTGCTAAATAAAGGAGAAAGAGAAAAAATAATCTTGAATATGTCTGCACAGGTACTGAGCCCTCAAAGCACTTGCTAACTTAAAAGTCCACAAACTTACAACCCTACTGAAAATTAGACCCTTTTAAGCTTTTAAACCTTGAAGTTTTCTGGCTAGTCCAGGGTGACACACCTTTCCTTTGCCACTTCTCAACAAATCTCAGCTAAACTCCTCGGGGAAAGCGGTCTCCTCCCATGAGCTGCTCTTTCTTTCCAACAGTTTTTTGTCACTTTGATGCACTTGGTCTTTGCCACAGAGATGCTGCATGCCTCCTGCCCAATACTGTATACTACCGGGCTGCTCTGCAATACTCATCTTGATCTCAGAGCTTTATCAGTACAGCAGAGAAAAGCCCCCCCCCCCCAAAAAAAGGGGGGGTAAACTTGACCACAGCCATTCTCATAGACTGTGAGATTTTTCCCATGAGATTGGAAATGGGGACAGTGGAAGACCAACACTCCCTGTGCCGCCAAGTCCCGAAAGACCCTACCCCAATTCCTGCAAGAAAGCATCTTCCCCGAAGAGCTGCTCCCAGGAAGCACTGGGCCGTTCGGTTTCCTTCTCATGGCTGCTTCAAGAGGGAAATGCACGAAAGCAAACGCCCTTCCAGTAAGGTCTGCTCGTCCAGCCTGCGAGAAGCACAACCTCCTCATTACCAAACAACCGAGATGCTGAGTTCCCTGTCGCTGTGTTTGGTAAAGCCATGAATTAAAGCAAGTTGCTAAGGAAAAGGAGCAATTACATGTAAATCTCAGTATAAGTTAACTATGGGTTGGAGGTTCAAATGTTTTTCTCATAGTCTTACACTCTGTTCTTGCAGCAGAAACACAAGTGGACAACGGAGCAGAGGCACTCACTATCTGTTCAACTTCAGACTTGGTGAGAAGCATCTTCTCAAATAGTGTGATATTCGACCAAAGACACATGAGAGCAGAATGAACTCGTTACACAGATGAAAGCTGCTGTGCACCAAATTCTGCTCATCTGAATCTGATGCAAACATGTATTAGCAGGAAAAAGCTGTAGAATGAGTAAAACATGCACGTACCAGATGGCAAACTGGAATGATTAAGAGAGTTTTTATAAGTAACGCAGTTTTAGGTTGAAAAGCTTGTCCTTAATATGTCCCATTCAGCACAAAAGCCCTCCCAGGACACGACTGGGGAGCTCAACTTGCGAAATTTCTTGCTTCCCATAGGTCCTAAATAAAAAGCTGCAACACAGTGAGTGTCTGTCCCTCCTGATGGGCGGGATATAAGGTCACTGCATTTCAAGTGATTTTCCTCCCTTGTTAATGCAGTTTCTTCTTTATACTCACACTAAAACCCCAGTGCTTGAGCCCAGCTCTCCTAAGTGCTCTGCACATTTTTTCCAAGCTCGAGTTCCTGCAGATCACCCGAGAGTTGTGTGCAGCGTTTCCACACGATGCTCAGCGCTGCTGCTGAGGACCACCTGCTCTTAGGAAGCCACTCAGGTAATTTATAGGCCTTCCAGTTTTACATGCACATCTTCAGTTCATTAGGCATTCTGTTAAAGTTTACTAAATCATGGACCTTTTTTTCAAGGCTATTTTTCTGTAAAACCATCCACATTTTGCTTTTGGTTTTGACTCTGGCATATAAGTAGGACAGGCCATAAATTTGGGCTTAGTCACCAAATTCCCCAATGTTTGGAGGTACATGAATCCCATGCTGGTGGCTCAGTGTTAATCGGTTCTTAGGAGATATGAAATATTTGTGTATTTTCAATAGAAATGGCAACTCCAGTCTCCAGTACCTGAGCAAGCCATGAAAAGCAGCATCACCAGGAAATACAATAGAAAATCAAACTGGAAAACCCAGCTGTACTTTTGCAACTTAGGAGAAAACACTTGGTAGCTAAGCCAGATCTGCATCTAAGCTAGCTTTGCACAGTGCTGATGAGTCTCAGACTCATCCTTTAATCCCCTTCAATTAATTTCCTCTCAGCCTGACACAGTGAGCTCCAGAGGAGCCTGGCACAGACCCCACAACCAGGACTTCCCACCCTGAGCTCCTCAGAGCAGCAGGTCACAACCAGGAAGGCACCTGCTCCAGCTGACCACCTCCCCTCCGCCTCTGTAGGTAATAGCTAGCCACCGTTAGTGGATCAAAACCAATTTAAAAAGAGAGATACTGCCACTACGTTATTTTTGTTTTCTTTTGAAGAAAGATATTTGAGATTGGAAAAAAAATGCACATAGCATTGATGCAAGCATCTGGGGCAATTTTTAATTCACGTGTCCTATTTTCCAATTGGTAAAATCCTGAAAATTTCCCCATCTGCTGTATAAAATATTTTTTGAAGTTAAATTGCTACGAAAACATCAAAACCGTATTTATTTATTGAGACCACGTTCAAAATTTCACTGAAAACGTGGGGACTTTTCCTTGGATGGCTTTTTTTGAGCTCATTAATACGGCTTTCAATTTTTCCACCTAAAATTGGAAATTTAAACATTTTTTAAAATACTCAAATTTAAAAAAAAAGAAACTCAATTCAGGTATTCAGTGAATTACTTGTATAGACATACATGCTGCATGTTGCCTGATTAGGGTGTTGATTGACAACCTATTGAACGCTATAGGAAAGCTCCCATTAACTGCAGTAGTAGCCCACGCTGGGACTAAATGTACCCAAATACTTTAAGTACAGCAGTAGTTTATTTCATTTGATTTTCTAATAGCTTTTATTAACACACATATCCAGGGAATGAAATAGTAGTAGTAGGTGCAGCTGATAATATGAAAAGATGGTACTATATATAAATAATTAAAAGATTGAAAAGAAAATTTATTTTCCAAACCATAACAAATTTAAAAGCCCAGTACTTGGAGAAAGACATATAAATTAATACTATTGCACATTTCTTGACTGGCTAGGTTGAAGAAACAAATTTATATGCTTTAGAATCCTACATGTAAGCAAATGAGTTCACAGAAAATATTCGCCCTTTGTGCACACTAATTTTGAATTTATGAGGGTTTTACTCCCAGTGGACTTTACCCCAGCTTTAAATCAGTGTTAACAAAACGGGGACTAAAGACTGGGTGCTTAAGGCAGAAAGTGGTACATCTCGGCAAGCGGGGGGATTCTGTCCCTGACTTCTGCCTCTTAAAAACTTATTCTAGTATATAGTCCTGGATGAAAAAATGTATTTTACCAGGAATATGGTGGGTTAAGTGAGTGATATTTCTTTTTAATAAACATATCTCCTTCCCAGGGAAAAATCTGACTGATCTTTGGCAGGTGCAGAATATTCTCAGAAGTCTGAAAACAGCAATAAGATGCAGCAGAGGAGAATGAGACCAGGAGGGGAAACCCAGAGAAGGGACCCCCCAGCTGTAGTTCCCACAGGGTTCTACCTCTGTTTCTACATTGAACATTTCACCATCGAAACTTTTATACTTTTCTTATTGTTCAAGTCTTTGAGTAGAAGTTTTTAGATTTTTATTTTTTTGGAGGAGAAACTAATTCCAGCCCATTTGACCAGAAGAGCAATTAGTGAAATGCAGTTCAGCAACACACACTCGCCTGCCCTTTCCCAGCTGTCTTTCAAAGTCCTCCCCTTCCCTCCTGCCCTTCCTCTGCCTCCATCCTCACAGGCCTTTTCCGAGCTGGCCGTCCCAGGTAGCAATGCTGCCCAAACACCTCGAGGAGCCGTCGGAGTTCGCACACCGGAGGGTTCGACCTCAGTCGCGGCAGCGTCACACCGAGGAGTAGATTTAGAGACCAGAGGCAGTGGAAGGGGTTCCTTCACCGTGGCCAATGTTACCTAACAGAAATTTGACTTGGCAGAGGACTCTGCAACTCTCCCTCTTGCTGGGTAATACCCTAACGCGGGAAATACATTTATTTCCTCTTGCAGCGAGGGCTCTGTTCAATGTGACTGGAGGGAGCATAATATGGCCCTTAATCTATGAGAAGCATTTCCTTACTGTCTCATGTCAGAATCATAGCTCAGACAGTTCAGCTAGTTCAGTTCCCAAAGACAAATTTTGTTTTTCCAGTTAGAATATATTTTGTATACCTGCATGGTAAGACATCAGAGAAAAATACTCAAGGGGTGAATAAAGGGAGGAAAAATGCTGTGTCAATAATTTGCTGGCTGTTTCCACTTTGCTTTGACAGCAGAGTTTCTGCTTTGAGGCAGATATTCAGACGGCAGTTAATAGACAAGAAGTGGCAGGGATTTCAGCAGCAAATGGATGAACGGATCATGGGCAAGGAAAGGGCATTTCTCTACATTCAGATCTGTTTTTCATAAAAACTGCAGACATGTCTAAACCTTTCCAATATGCTGCAAAGTTGTGCAGCTGTCTCCTTCCTCAACTCCTTCCAGATTCAAATGCAAATCAAATTTGATGGCCTCAGTATGTAATTTTGTGCTACAATATACCATGCTATGCACATTAAGGAAACTGGAAGCATCTTTTCGATCTATATTCCTTTTAAATCAGTGGCAAGATTTGCATTCACTTTTATAGGACCGGATAAAATCTTTAAATGGGAATCTTCAAGGATTGTGAGATTTTTGTAAAGAAACTTTGCAAGAAACAAAATTATAACTCAGGTTAGTAGAGTTATCAATGAGTCTGGTCCTTGTCCCTCCATTCATCCTGGAAACTGTACCTGCCAGGGTTAGGAAGGTTTGAGTTTGACGCAGGCTGAAGGGTCCGGTACTCAAGGGTGCCACTGATTTCTCACTCACAGAGGAGGGAAAGGAGGAGGAGTTACTTACAGCTACCAAACATTTTGTGAGGAGTTGCTGCCAGTTAGCACAACTCAAAAAAGTGAGGAGGAAATAGAGAATTTTAAAGAAATTATATTTATGGGAGACATCAAGAATCTTTAACTGAGAAGGCAGAATAATATGAAGTCCCTACAACTCAAATATTGGTCAACATCTCCAAAACCCCCAGCCAGCAAATGAACAGAAGATCAGCAGTACTCACTGTTTGGGTCTACGTTCTCACACAGCTCCGTTTTGGCTTCGCCGTTGGGCCTGTCGCTGGGTTTGTGCGAGAGCCGTGACGACATGGTTGCTGCTGTGACCACAGCCTTGAAGCTGCGTTTCCGCTTCTGGACGTTTAGCTCAGGGTGGAAGATGATGATGTACACCTTCGGCATGTAAAGCATCCCCAGGGCCACTGAAGCACTTAAGTTCATGGATATTGTAAGTGTGGTAGTTTGTATGTAGAGCTAGGAGACACAACACATGAGACACTATTACAAATAAGATGACTGGGAAGCAGGCTGTAGTACTTCAAACATTAAGTAACCATTTAAAAGCATTTTTACAAGCATTTTTAATGAGTCTGCAAGCAAAGATGCGTGAGCTGAGACCTTTGCACTGCAAACCACCGTGAGGTCCAACACACATCAGCTACCCGTGGTATCAACAGCCTCTTCGGAGGCTCAATGCTAGAAACTTTCAGTGTCCTTAACAATACAATTTCTACTATATGCTGATGGTATAGCTTCTGTTTGCTTATTTAAAGAGTGAAGATCAGATTTGGATTGAAATAACGCTGGTATAAATTTAAATTTAGGTCTACTGTAAGTTATAGAAGAGGAACTGTAATAATACAGGTTAGTAAAAAAATCTTACTTTTTTAAAAAATTGAGGAAAGTGGGATTTTATTTGTTTTTACTATACTTTAATTCTCTACAATTCATTGAAATAACTTTGCAGAGAATACACAATGATTTGTGTGCTCGTGACATTCAGCTATGCTTATTATGAAAAAGTAGTATATATGCAAGTCAGAGAACAGGTACTGCCATGAGATGAGTATTCAAAGAAACCACAAGGATTTAAAAACATACTCTACAGTATGTAACTACAACATGCAAACATACAGGGGTGGAAAAGCCTTTTTTTTTTCTTTTTTTTTTTAATTATCTTTTCAGAGGATACACTTAATAAATAAACTAGAACAATTCTTGCGACTTAAGAGGATGAGGCACAGTTAAAACTTAAAAAGCAGAGAGGCAGCACAGTACAGGTGTGAGGGAGCTGAAGAGGGAGCAAAGTCTCTGCGGATCCTCTTCAAAAATTAAATATACGGTAATTCCATGTAAATGGGAAAATCATTACACGTTGAGGGTGATTTCTTCAGAACACTATTTCCTCTTCTCCTCCTATTCAGTGCTAATCAGTCTGAATTTTTGATGGAAAAACTCTATGAATAAATATAATGGCAGGGTAAAATGCTGACTATGCCCAGGTATTTCCAAATTCCCATATTTGTAAAAATATTAATGTCTCCAGGCTTGCTAGTTATATCTACATAACAGTTGCTATTGTAGTGATTAAAACCACCACTGGAAGCAATAAAATGCCTTACAGAAAACATAAAAAACGTGCTGTGCACAGATGTGTCTCCATACAGATGCACACAAGCAAAAACTAAAGTGCTTTCTCAGTTTCTATTTACTCATTATCAGAAGGAAATGACACTGATGTTGCCAGAAATTTTGCCAAAGTCAAGACATTGGGACATAACCCATCTCATCCTGTGAAAAGATAGGCTGGGACAAGCTACACCATTCGAGGCTGGGAGGGAGCCCAAGGGGTCACCCCGTCTAAAACCCTGCCCCAAGAAAAAGCCATTTACACCAGAACTACTTCTGACGGATCACCCTGTCTACCCGTGTCCTAAAACCGTCCTCTGAATGAGGTTGCACAGCCTCCTAACCAAACTCTTGCAGAGTGCTCAGGTCTCCGAAACATTTGGTCTGTACCTGAACGAAGCTGCTAATTGTCCTCTCCCGGTGGAATGAAGAGCAAGTGGCCACCAAACCCTCTGTTGCCTTCTTTTATATGTCTAAATAGTTACTGTCTTTTGGAGAACTTTTAAAAAGCAGTATGGTACCATGTTGCCCCTTGGTCTTTGACAGATAACAGGGCAATTTCTCCCAACTTCAGCCACTGGGAAGACCTCAGGTCCTTCTGTCTTCCCCTAACCTGGACACTGCCGTCGACCCTCTGCTTCACCGAGATGCGATGCTCCAAGCCGATGTGGTGCTCTGCTGAAGCCTCCTTACTGGAGGATTATTTTCAGAATTTATCTTATAGCACTGCTGTGAAACATGATGTTTCTTTTTCTCAGTCTGGTAGTGTTGTTGCCTGCTGCTCTTCACTGCGGAGTAACCGCCTGGGTGGTTATTCCGCACCTTACACCTTGCAGCTGAATGTTGTTACACTACAGACATACTCTATACCTTTACTTCTATGTAGGTAAGCACTATGTCTATTTATTTTAAAAGAACATTTAAAAGAGAAGACAGTTCGCAATGCATTTGCTTCCTTGGAGCTGATCCTCCTTTCAGTTTTGTTCACATAAATCAACTGTAACTCAGTTGGGGTCAAGTGTATTGCATTGATATAAATAACACAGACAAATATTTATTAATTAAATTCAATACATCTTTGAAAATTGGAAATAAAATATATAGAATGTAACATTTAAGGGCTGAAGGATAAACAGGAAGATACCTGCCTTATCTTCAAAGTGTTTGTAACTTATTACCAGCTTTTATCCTCCCTAAGTAAGGTAATTATTATTTCTATTTTACAAAGAGCTCCTGCAATTGCTATAGGAGCTGCAGGTACCGACACCTCTAAAGGCCAGGAAGATGCTGCGGACAGCAAACTTGACAAATTACATTACACCTAGGAACTGTCTGGTTCTCAGCTCTGTATTCAGACCAACCTCTCTCTGCTAATACTTGGGAAGAAAACTTGCTTAAATAATGTCTGAAGTCCTCCTGGTTTAGTCTGAAAAGGATGTGGCTCTGTAACACGTGTTCAATAAGAATTGCCTCTGTTTCTGTATACAAGATATGTAACTAAACCTGACAGGCACTGAATATCTACTAAGCAGTATTACTGAATGAGATCTACGTTTCTAGAAGGTTAGAAAAGATCTATGTCAGTGAAGAGCTCTGTCACAAGTACAGAAGATGTATCGGCACTTCAAAGCGGTTTTGTTCAGCAGTTGTCTCCAATGACTTGAACTTGCAGAAAGTCTGTTCAAGTAGCAATATGGTGAAAAATGCACGGTAACGTTTCGCAACTAACTCTTGATTCACCTTCCTGGAGAACATAAACACCTTTATACAGAAAGCAGGAATTTGGACCGCAGGACAAAAAATAATAAATTAAAAAAAGGGGAAAAAAAGCTAATGGCACAGCATTGCCAGCATGACACACATAATTAGCTGTTTATGTTTCACAGACAGAAATAGCATATTTATGTTTAAGTACAGATTTTCTCCACCCAAATTCGACTTCTTCTTCGGCATGGAAAACAACAGCTCCCCATAGGAATTTTGACGAACTTGTCAGTTAAGCAAAATAACTTTATATCACCACGCTCAGACACATAGGTCATAGACACACTGTGTGTGACAGCAGCTAAAAATCCTAGAAAAGCAGAAGGGAAGATGCATTTTGAGTAAGAGCTGCTTTTAAAAGCACTATGTAGCACGAAGTTTTCAAATGGATCCTCAGTGGGAGAAGGATTTGTTAACGCGTGGCGTTTTCTGAATTTTGGAACAGCTGACTAGTTTGATATGCGATACGAATGTTTCCTTTCAGAAAGAGAAGAAAAGAACAAGTGAAGATTGTACACACCAAGAGGAGGAGGGGACCCTCTTTGCACAGCTCCTTTGGAACAGGACACACAACCCGCACCGAGGCCACCTCCGCCTGCGCAGGTGCCGGATAACTACATTTGATGAGCTTGTGGTTCTGCAGGTACGATCAGCTACCGGCAAATATCTACCACCAGAGTCATTCGCCGTCCTCTGAGCCGCTGCTCCCGACACGGGTGTTTCGGGTGGGTGGGCACGGGTTTCCTGAGGCATCGCTGGAGATTGCTCCCGAGGGCAGATTTCTGCACCAGTGCTCGAGCACCTGCACAGCCACATGCTACGGCCAGCCGCTTCCCTACCTGGTTTTCCATGGGCTACAGCAGTGGGGATCTGGCCTGACTTGGAGGTGACTTACCCTGGGGATGGTTTGACACAATGTCTTCCCCTTAATCCAGGGCTGCTGCGATTGCAAAAGCCGCAACCAGCAGAGTGCCAGCAACGTTTTTATCTAGGTGCACACAGGTATTAATTTTTATTTCCTCTTGCTATTAAGGGGTTGAAGGTTAAATGATTATTTAGTCAACAGGGTCTTTTGCAGCACCACGCCAGTCAAGTTTCCTACCTTGCAAATGCCAATGGGAGATAAAAGGAAGGGGAGAAAAGAGCTTTTGTAGAACAAGGCAGGATGAGTGACACACAATGCTTCTCATGACAAATGGGAGCTTTATAAAGATAAGGGAAACTAATAGATATGCTTATTATGCAAAGCCTTAGTTTTATGTATTTTATCTCTGCTTTGTGGTTTTACCAGTCAAACATAAAAATGCAGTTTACATGAAACTATTTCATTTCTTATTTCACTTCTTCTGATAAACTCTCTGAAAGCATTTTAGATGAATGCAAATGGGTGACTTAAAATACAAAGGATAAGATTTAACTGACAATGGGATTCTAATAATTCATGCATGCCTTTTACAGCTGGCTGGTGAAACCTGGTAGTTTCCAAACCTGAGATCAAATTAAGATGCAGATTTAGTGAGAGATGCTCGAACTTGACATGAATGAGGACTGGGATTGAGCTAGGTATTGCCAGTGGAAATCAAAGCTTTCTAAAACAGTGCCTTGTTGGTCTCTACAAGCCCAGTCCCATGGAGGGTTTGAAGTCACATTTGCTATGACATAAAGGCCAAAGTCATTCTGGAGGGTCATCCCCACTCACATCTCTCTCTTTCTCTCTCTTAAGCAGACTCTGAATTTTGAAAAATTTTAACTTAATGTTAAACTTAACACACTGCTGTTACAAACGCATCAGACTTTGAAGCAGCGCCTTGGAGAAAACTCAGCCCTAAGGATATCATTCACATGCAAAGGCACCTAGATTTTATCATTTATTTTACATAAAAGATTTCCATTTGAATTTTAGATTTCTATGTTTTCCAGATTCTTGCTTTGTTCATGCAAATGGTGAAAATTCAAAACCTTGAGAGAAAATTAGACTGGTCTTGAATACACACATCTAATAACCAGCATTTTTTATAGAGCAGATTATATCAATGGATGATTTTGCATGAGCTAGGATTACTCTCAGAAGTAAAGCACTG